GTCTGTATAAATGATATGGAACCGGGAGTCACAAGCACAGTGGTAAAATTCTGCAGACGACACCAAAGTAATGAAGGTGGTGGATTGCGAAGCTGAACAGGAGAGATTACAGGTAATCCAGTCTGACATGACATATGAAGTCAGCGTTGATAAAATTAATTGTTTCCTCAATATTATTCAAAAATCACTAAGAAACGGCAAAGGACTAGAGAATGGAAGAAAGCAGCAAATGCAGGAAAATAAAATAATACCAAAGGCTACGCAGCTGATTGGAAAACAAGTAGATTTTACATAAGATAATATTTACGCATCTTATTTTATAAATTCAACCAGTGACAGAGGGTATTAGCATCAATTAAACTAAGATAAAGCTGTGCGATTGCGTAATAATTGATGAGTAAATGTTTTGCTTCATTCTTTATTGTGAAAGGTTTAAAAATGATGTAAACGTTTCAAAGCAGAAAGAGGGGAGACACCAATTTAATGATGTTGTAGAACTATGGAAACTTACAGCACACAAAGAGGCCATTCAGCCCATCGAGCCTGTACCAGCTCTTTGAAAGAGCAATTCAACTGGTCACACTGTCAGGCTCTGTCCCCATAGCTGTGCAGATTTTTCCTTTTCATGTCTGTATGTACAATTCCCTTTTGACAGCACAGCACATCGTCAGGATCTGGAAGGGCAGACCAGTCACTGGGGGAATGGAGTCATCTCATTGAGCAACTGTTTGACTACGCCAAATGGCGGCTCATTGGACTTCCCAACTCTTTCTTCCACAAGATGCAGATTATCCGGAATACTGAAACTTATTCTCTCCCGCTCCAGGCTCCGGGAACTTATCACACCCATTTTTACCGGCTTCACTGGATCCCCGTTCTTGGACAACCGAGTACAAAACCCAAGTTCTCACCTTCAAGGTTGTCCACGGTCTTGCTCCCCCCCCACCTCTCCAACATCATAACCCCATATCAGGCTGTAGCTCCCTCCGCTCGGCGGACACCAGTTTGCTTCAGGTCACCCCTTGTTCCTGCTTCACCATTGGTGACTGGCCATTCAGCATCTCTGCCCCACAGTCTGGAACTCTATCCTGCATTCCCTCTTTTCTCTCCTTCAAGACACGTCTGAAGACCGTCCTCTTCGATCATGCCTCCGACCACAAGGTCTATCTGCACTGCAAGAAGGATCCCTATATCCTGATTGATGTAGATACATGATTTATACCGTATTAGAAAGTTATTGCCCATGGGAGTGACATGGGCAGATTTGTTTTTGTGTATCTCGTACAGTTCATGAGTTAAATACAGTTTTGTGTGATTGCTGTAGTTACACCTCGTGGCCACCGAGTCAAAGTGGCGCCGTGGGATCGTGCATCACAGAGCACCAACGAACACACTGCAGTTACACCTGGTGGCCACGCCGTGGCGCTGTGGCATTCTTAGCATAGGCAAGCGGCGGGAACCAAATAAAGAACGCAGACTAAGCTAAGCCGCGGCAACAGCAAAATATTACATACTTACAGCACCGAGTCCTCCCAGAGAGTTCTCTGAAATGGTGTCCTCCCACAGGAGTCCTACCAGATGAGTAGAGATAAACATGAAATGTCTGTCTGTGGGTGAATCTACATTCCATATTGGATCCTTTGGTTGCAAGTGAAGCTGCAACGGGTACAGTTCGTTATTCAATGAGGTAGAAAACAAACCACTAAAGGCCTGTGAGTTCCAGAGAGTTTAATGGTAATGGTGGGGCAGATAGAGCAGTGGGATATGAAACAGGCGATTGTCACTGAGCAAAGGGAGCAGCGTCACTGTGGTTGAAGGAAATCGCAGAGGGAAGTGAGGTAAGTGCTTGAAAGAAGTTACTTGACGGAAACTTTCCTACATTTCGAAGCAAAGTATCCAAAGTGTTTAGAAACGTTCTCCAGACGTGAAAGAAACTGCCAAATAGAACGAGTTTTATGTATTAATATGGCTATATTCTGCCAACTCTGATTTACCAATCACAGCCACTTGAGGTGACCCAACAGCTGCTGTTGCTGTTGTTGCTGTTGGTGTGAAGGGGAATAATGTATGAAAGGTCCGGCTGTGGGCCCCACGGTGTGAGAGCAGGAAGCTGCTCACTGACTGACTGCACACAATCACAGCTGCTTCCTGACAGTTGTGCTCTGAGTTTCTGCCCCACCTGAAGGCGGTGTGAATCATTCTGTGTGAAGCGTCTTTCAAGCAAGAAGACTTTAGATATAAAAAGCAGTAACTTGTTTAGCATTTTGCTCATGAGCTGTTCTGCAACATGAACTATTCCATCACATCCACAAACAATCATTTCCTGTAAACTCGAAGTCTTGAATAGCAAATAACAAAAATAAACCCCAAACAATATAGAAATATAAAGACAGAGAACTCTCCATCATTTCTATTGTTTGCTGAGTAAAGTCAGCGCCTCTTAATTACTGTGTATGTAAGAATACGACAAACGATGCAGAAAATGTGTTGACAAAGGCAACCGGGCAATAAGCAGTGATATCACAAGCTGAGTGTAAGAGGCACTGCATATTATTCTCTGGGTGATTAGGCTGTATATCTGTGCCACATTACACCAGCGATGCACTGCACAATATTAACTGTCCACTGTTCAGGTACTCCAACACTTGGTGCGGTTTTCACATTGAGACTGTGTGAACATTAGGAATGAACAGCCTAATGAGGCCATAGACACAGTTATTTGGGCCGTTGGGAAGAGGGAAGAACTGATATTTAATAAGTCAGGACATGAAGGTACATGGAGACAAAGCTGAGAAATGGACTGAGAGAGAATTGCCACAGAAGCCGGTGCGGCTCCAGCGGCCTTGGCCTTTCCCTAAATGTAACAGGAAACACTATTATCTACTGAGCGGGACAGACTCTCAATAAACCCGAAACACATTAATGTAGAAAAATACTTTGGCACTTCTTCCCTCCACATCACCGAGAGACTGATCACCAAGATTGTCCTCAAATTGGTCTGGAATAACAACCATTAATAAATTGATTTTGAAAAGATAACTTTATTATATTTTACTCCACATTCCATCAAAGTCGGAGTATTTTGTGAAGTGGCCACACACGGAGCTGTTCTGTGTCCTGTTGTTTTTCAGCCGTTACAATGATTATTTCCCGACGTTTGAGATTTATGTTGTGCTCTGACAGGTTTGCTGTAAGATCGCAGCTCTTGTAGACCTTGTACAGGTTCCAGATCCAGTGCCCAAAGGAGAATTCAGGAATCAGTGGCTCCTCATGTCTCACTGCAGCCGATTGTTTCAGTTCAGGATTTCAATGTCAAACAGAAGCTTTTCACTGGGAATTATCTGTTGGTTTCTGATTGTATTGATCTGAATATCGGAGTCAGTGAATGTTATACCCTACAGCCTGTGCGCTTTGATCAGATCTAATGCTGGGACTTTCCTACTGATCAACGTTACTTGTGTGACTGTGCAATGGGCCACAGAGAATTACACACCAGAAAGGTGCAAACTCCTCAAACAACAAAGCACAAACACAGAGATTTACTCCCAGACCAGGTGGTGTGTTCATGTTGGGACTCTGAGATCACAACGCTGACTGATATTCCCAGACATTAATCCAAGTCCACTCTCCCGGGTCAGGCGGCTTGGAATATCCTATGACAGTAATTGTATAAAGGAAACAATTTTTTGTCGATTTACTTGGAAAATTGGAGCATCAGCTTCAGACATTCAGGGACACAACACACAGTGTCTGATGAGAATCCCTGTTACACTCTGACTCGCAGTTACTGAAAACTGCCGCGATATTAGAGTTGGGACAATGTGACACTGAAACCATTTCTGATTGAAGCTTCATTTCATTTCTTTCCAGTTTCCTTCTCTTGTCCTGAAGGAGTGTGATTGCTCTGACGTTACACTGGGCTCCCATTCCACCAGCTATCCGGCTTCTCATCCCAAGAGGACATTTCATGCCTGGTTTGAAATCATGAGCCATACATTCTGTGAAGCGCTTTGAGACGTCCAGCACATGTAAACAGGTGCTCTATCAAATACAAGGATTATTATTATTATTAATATTATTATGTCTTGATGCCCATGTGGGACATGAAATCAGAATTTGCAGACAAGAAACGGAACAATCATTTACGGGAGATCAGAACATCACTAAGAACAGGAAATAATGAATTTTGAATTCTGGTACAATATTAATTTTTACCCACAAAAAACAAAGTCACTACACATTACTATCCATTGTGTGAAGTGCCTTGATTTCTTTCAATGACGTGATAAGGCATTATGTGAAATGCAAGGATTATTAAAATAATTAATATCATCATAAGAACATGAGAAAATAAGAATTACAGGATGAAAATAAAGTCCATCTGGTTCCCCAACCACTATCCTGGCAGCCGCATGCACATGTCATGTCCTAAACAATATACTGTGTCGCACAATATTATTTTCAGAAAGTAACCTCTCATTTATTTTTACAAGAATCGACACTTTCAGCTTCATCATCTTCCCCCTTTAACAGTCGCTCACTGAAATAGTGTGAACGCAGATTTGTTTTGAATTTCCCGCCTCCTCCACACACACTGCAAACACACACACACTCAGAAACATTGAAGGAAGGAATTTGCGATGCTTCAGGGTCAGCGCGAGGGCTAATACTACTGAGACTTATATTAATAATAATTAATTATTGCATTTGATATAGCGCTTTTCACATCGGGAGGACGTCCCAAAGCGCTTCACAGAACACACTTTAAAGCGAATTGACTGTATATTTGTGGGCGAATGCGGCAGCCAATTGCGCACAGCAATGTCCCACAAAGAGTCGTATTAATTAATATTAATATTAATATTAATTTGCTGTAAAGGCAGAATGTAAAGGTACAGTTATTGCTCTGTGCAGGTCAGAGGGAATGTGACACGTGACTCCCCTCAGTCCTGCAGCTATTGGTGGGTTCTCCACCCCCTGCCCCACTGCCCCTTGTTATATAGCGGTCACTGGGGACTGAGGCCATCTGTCCGGCAGCTCTTTGGCCCTCGGTTATTCGGCTCCAGTCTCAGTTCTGACAAGTGCCCAGAAACATGAGGTCCCTGATTTCTCTCAGTCTGCTGCTGGCTGTCTTCTCCCGTGAGTGCTATTATTCTGACAGTCTCACTCTTCCTGTGTCGGTCTTATTCTCTCTGCAATGTCACAGAGACGGGAGGTTTCACAGTCATTAATCTTCGGTCATTTATTCTTTACAGGTGTCCAGGCCGATGTGGTGCTGACACAGCCGCCGTCTCTAACCGGGAAACCTGGCCATCCCCTGAGACTGACCTGTAAAACCAGTGGGTTTAATCTCGGCAGCTACAGCATGCACTGGGTCCGGCAGGTTCCCGGGAAGGGGCTGGAATGGCTCCTCTATTATTACAGCTCATCCAGCAATGCTTTCGCGCCTGGGATTGAAGACCGTGTCACTGTCATCAAAGAGGATTCCAATAACATCTTCGATTTGATCATCAAAAGCCCGAGAGTGGACGACACCGCCATCTATTACTGTGCAAGAGACTCACAGTGAGAGGAACTCCTACAAATACACAAGGGGAGGAAAGGCAGCCCCTCCCACCCTAAACTGCCTGACAGTCATGGTGTCAATGCTGTGTCTGGAGCGAAGATTAAAGGAAAAGCTTCAAATGGATTTCTTCTCATGTTAAACCTACACAGTGAGTCGTGGTTTGATGGTGCGAATGACCTGCTTATTGGTGCTGTAATATTCTGGGATTTCAGTTGGTAAGTGACACTGTGCTGTTTGAGGCGGGAAGGACTGCGATTGGAGACTGGCGATGTGACGGTTCACAGATATCCTCTTGTTACAAACTGAGCTGTTGGAGAGATTTGTTTTCTGTTTCTGTGGCTATGAAGAAAGTATTAGATAGACTCGATGTCATGTCACAGGGGAATAGGCCATTTCAGTGAATTTTGGCAGCCAGTGTTGAGCAGACATTGAGGGCAGTATTTGTATGGGACTGTGTCACTGTGTACAACAGTGGGTCACAATGCTGCACACAGCCATCTCCTCATACAAAAACCCGAGCCAGAGAGGCTGCTCACCCCTGTCATCACTGAAACATCCACAGCATCCAAATAAATGTTACAGAGAGTGGATCCTTCTCATAAATGACCTGGTATTTAACAGATGAATTCAGAATGATTTAGATTACAGGACGGCATTAAACAAGACTGACGTCTGTGGAGCTGCTTTAACATTAATCCAAAGTCTCTAATAAACATAAGGATTTATTCTGACTGAAACATCACATGAAGCCTCACTGGTGAATCTGAGCTGAGGTCCAGTCAGTGTCTGATATTCCAGTCAATATTTGTTAGTTTATCCTGTGCAGGAGTTTGTGTCACAGTGTGTATCACTGTGATATATGGACCACAGCATTAACTGTCAATACAAAAACCCTTCAACACCAAACCAGCTCATGTCTCTCACTGTTCGCTTGTGTGGCCACTTAATGTGCAGGGATTTGGTATGTTTAAAATGCCGCCTTCCACTGAGGATTTTACCAGATTTTAATAGACATAAAACATAACATTTCATCTACAATCTGTTGGTGACAAGAAAAGGTGTTTGACATGAACACAGCAAACTGGCAAAGACACAAACATTTAACAGGTAAACACAGAGCCGGGCAATAGTGTTCAGAACATTACAGAAATATATCGTGACCTGCATTTGGTTTGGGGGAGTCAACATTTACAATAATATTGTGTTGGTGTGTCCTGCCCGCACAGCAGGTTGTTGCAGTGGGCAGCCCACTGACTGGAGCACAGTGACTACCTCGACTACTGGGGACAAGGCACCATGATGACGGTGACTAATGGTAAGAAACACACACTTACTCACTCACAATGCTGACATTGTTTTATATGTTTGTTTGATTCACTTTAACAACTATTTGCTGTAATGAATTCCGCGTTGCCAGGCTATCTCGCAGTTTAATGTATGTTAAAGGGGTTTCCCTGATATCGCTTTCAACAGCCACTGTTGATTTATGGATTATTCTCTCAATGTTTAGTTCATTGTTGGTGATATTTTTGGTGGTTAGTGAATGTACAGCTGAGGTTACACTGACGGTCTTTGTGCAATGTCTGATCGCGGTGACTGGCGGTGGGTAGTTTTCGGGTATAATGTCGTCAGGAATTGTATGAAAGTGTTTGAATCTATGCCCACGTGTTGGGAATCAGGGCCGGAATGTTGTTGGATGAGCGATGGGAAGGTTATCTGATCGATTCCAATATGTATTTTAATTCTTTATTTAACATAAGGACCGCGGCTGCAGTTTAAAGTGTCTCAATCTGGGGGAGGGGGTGAGTCTGAGAGTAAAGTGGGTTTATACTGCTGGGATGTGATTGTAAACACAGCAGCTCAATCTGCACGGATGTTACAGCAATAATAGTGAAGGTTTTTATTTTAATTAATATCAGCATTAATGTGCTGCTCACAGTCTCGTTGCCTCAGGTTCCCCTCACACCAGTCATGGTTTAGTCAGCGAGAGTGAGAGCTCAGACTTGATTTCAATTGATTTGAACAGCAATCGAGTGAACATGACCGCACTTCCTCACAGTGCACAGACACAAGAGGTCGCTGCTGATCTATAATCATCAGCTTCCTGTTTTACACAAAATGATCTGCAGAAAAAAAGATTTTAAATTTGTTGATTTTCAATAAACAAATGGTAAACTCTGAATCACACACTGCAATGTAACAGATCCAGTTGTTTATGAGATGTTTAACACACAGCGACACTGGTCACTGACACCAAACTAATGATATCAGAACTGATCAGCTCCAACTCCAGAGTCGGTAGAGATGAGGGTGAAAGGAATGAGTTTGTCATTTGACTGTAAATACATGATTTAGTTATTCTGTGTAACTGTTTGAGCTGCAGGGAATTGTGACTGTGAGTTACATTGCACAATGTACAATGCTTCACGTGTGATGTGGAAGGAGAGTGTGTGAAGCTGCTGTGCAGTTACTGAGAGCTTCAGCTGAGAGAGAGACAACATGGAGCGACCTGTGGCTTATTGGATGGAAAGAGTTTGTGTTTGAGATGTGAGGGTTCAGGCTGTGATGGTGTGTGAGACCTGATTAACCGGCATTGAGCAGTGTAATAGCAAATGGCTGAACCGGGATATCTCACTGTGTGGAGAGCGGCTGGGAGTCGGGTTCATGTTTAACCCTCAGATCGAGGGGTAGGAAAGAGCAATGTGAAGGTTTGTTTTCATCAATATCTTCCCAGAGGCCGAGAAATTCACTTCCTCTCAGTCTGTGAGGAGACCATTTGTGGTACAGTGTAAAATTGTGCAGAATTATGAATAGTTTCTTCAATTCAGTGTTATATTCCACAATATCAATATAAAAGTGCTTTGCTCCTTAGTCAATGCAGCGTCACTGACATCAAACCCCCGGACAGAGACCTCTGTCTTTATTCAACTATTTAAGAGCCGATGTGTAACACATACTCCAAAATATGCTGTAAACATCTGTGTCCCCATTCAGTGCAGGGCCAGCGGCTGCTGCAGGTTCCGCTGATCCCAATCACAAGTCAGACAGGATTCCCTGTGCGAGGCGTGTCCTGGGCACAGCACTGATTACACTCCTTCATTCCTCAGGTCAACCACTGAATCTGCCCATTATCAGTCAGGCTCTGCCAGTGTGAAGCGCTCTGAGACGCTGCCCTGCGTGGAGGGCGCTATATAAGTGCAAGTTGTTGTATTATTGGGTCTCTCTAGTTTTGTAGCTAAAAGAGTTAATATTGACCGTAATCCATCATTATTCAGACAAATCAGAATATACTATTTTAACACCAACACAGTGGCTGTCAGGTGGGAAATTGTCTGTGGCAATTCTGTAACCAATCTGAACAGAATAAATTGTTTTAATAAATGTCAGAACCAGAAAGTCTCAATATTTAAATTTTTAGACGATTGTGTGACAATGAAAGATTATCCGGAGGTTTGAATGATCTTGAAATAAATATTTATTGGCAAATTCAACAGAAGATTTGGAAATCAAAGCAACATTTTAATTAAGATTTAATTAATTAAGCAACATTTACATTACCCTACATTTTAAAGCCTTGTTGCTCGGAGAAAGAATTGTGACTATTTTAGTCTGAGAGGGTTTAGAATGACATTATAATCACAGGGACACTGTCTGACTCTCTGTGTTTCTAAACTTAAACTGGTCACGTGGTGACTTGAAGCTGCTTCGCAGACGATGCAGTCGAGGCTTTGCTGTGTAGATTAGCAGTTTCTCTCTCACACAGACAGTCACAGCTGAACAACATTATTGGGATCTGAAATTTAAACCGGATTTACATTTAAACAGCCAAATGTGTCACCTTGGAGCCAATTCAGCTCCTGCTCCCCGCCCCCCAGGAAGATAGTTCAGCTCTATCCGGTGATTCATTTTGTCCTGAAACTGCGTCTCCATTTTTTTCTAGAAATACAAATTCAGACTAACATTGTTGTCAAGAATTCAGTAACAATTAGAGAAATTCCTGCTCCGACTGTCTCTTACAGAGAGCTCTGCCCACCACTCTCACCTCTCCTCTCAAACTCTGAGAGGATCATTATTCTATTAATAATAATAATAATAATCCCTGCATTTGATATCGCGCTTTTCATGTCTTCTCGACATCTCAAAGCGCTTCACAGAATATGCTGTAAAGTGAATTGACTGTATGTTTGTGGGCGTAATGCTGCAGCCAACTGCGCACAGCAGTGTCCCACAAACAGTCGTGGATTGAAAATGTCCAATTTATTATTGTTTTAATGGCAATACAGTTATTTGATACTAATTTTTTTCTTCACCATGTCCGGGTGTCTTTAACATTAGCTTTTCTCTGCTGGAGAAATGTCGCCCTCCTACATTAAGAATATATTACTCCTTAAATGTCATCTGTGAAAGCCTTGTTCTCAGCCACGACTCCAGCCAGCACGCACACACAGGTACGCACACACAGGTACGCACACACTCACGCACACAAAAATAACATAATAATCATTGCTTTAGGTGCAGTGCCTATCACGGTGGTGAGACGTCTCAAAGCGCTTCATAGGATATAATGTAATGTGGATTGACTGTACTTTGTGGGAAAACACAGAAGCCATTTGAGCAAAATAATGTCCCACCAACACACGTAGAGTGATTGGTCAATTTTATATAGGTGACTGTTGACCAGGACAACAGGAGAGAGAGAGGGAGAGAGAGACTGACTTCTGTTTTTGAATAGTGCCATGAGATCTTTAACGTGGAATTGATGGCAGACGGGGCCTTGGTTTAACACCTCAATACGTATACACACCACACACACACACACACACACACTCAAACACATACACACACACATATATACATACATGTATACATAATAATACTTGCATTTGATATAGTGCTTTTCAAATGTTTGAGACATCTCAAAGCGCTTCACAGTATAATGTAAAATGAATTGACTGTATGTTTGTGGGATAAACGCGGCAGCCAATTGGTCACAGGAGTTTCCCACAAACAGTCGTGCATTGAAATAATCAATTTTATTGTTTTTTTCTTGAAGCATTATTATCAGGCGGGTGGGGTAAGGAAACTTTCCCAGGTTTCACCCTGACGGAAACCGAACCCACGTCTCTCGATTGTGAGGCGAGTGCTCTAACTACTGAGCCACAGGACTTCTATTCATACAGGAGACATACATAGATACACATACACACACACATATCTACGTAGAAGTACATGCGTACATATCTAAGTATGTGAGATATGTTTGTGTGTATGTGTACCTATGTATGTGTCCTGTATGATTAGAATATACACACACACATATCTATGTGCACGTATGAAGATACATAAATGCATATATACTGATATTGATTTGGGTCACAGGTTTATTTTAGTTTATCTGTGTGTCTGACCAAATTGCAGAAAAGCAGAACCTCAAATCTAACTTTCTTCTTGGTTTCCAGCTGTAACTACTCCTCCCAGTCTTTACGCCCTGCTGCCATACTGTGGACAATCCTCTTCTGGAGGCTCAGTGACTGTTGGGTGTCTGGCCTCCAGCTACAGCCCCGATCCCGCCATCTTCACCTGGAGATCAAATACAAATCCCATCACTGACCAAGTCGAGACTTATCCCTCAGTGCTCAACAAGAACGGTCTCTACACTCTGAGCAGCCAGTTAACAATCGCTGAATCCCAGCTGGGCAGCATCTATTGTAAGGTTGCACATAAAAACAACACCTGGTCAGCCGTGGAAAAGCCCCTAAAAGGTCAGTGCTGTTCGCCAACATACAGAACAATCAAACATGTTGCTCCCATATAGGGTAGAACACTCAACATTGTAGGTGTGGGTATGTCACTTTTCTTCACCAGGTTATGTGAACACTCCCATCACAGAGAATCTGCAATGTCCTGATGATGTTACCCTCATTTCCCAAGTGCTGCGTTACCCGGAGATAATGGGCACAAATGAACAGATAGAAAGGACTCCAACCAGTTCAGTTGGACCAGGGAAGATAGGGGAGCAGCCTGACAGGAAACAGACACAACACAAACTAGAGAGAGGGAAGGTGGGACTCTGAGAAGGAGAGCGAGCGAGCTTTGGAGAGCAAGGATTGAGCAATGCTCAACGATAGGCAACATGGCAGGGAAGAATAGAAGAGTTTTCAACTTTAAGCCCACTTTAGAGTCGAGTGCAATATATCAGATGGAATGATTGAAGCGGTTGCAATGTTTATCTTTCTAAAGGGGGGTCTTTAGTGGGAAGATTGAAAGAGATAAGCGAATGAGAGAGGAGTATCCACCCCGTGGCTGAGATCAATGTCAGTTTGAATATGAATATCAATTGCACAACAAAAAATATTTCTATCAAACAAAACATAACCTATTATTCAATATCCTGCAGATCTCCCGTCACCGTTGCCCCCAGTTGTTATCCTCACACAGTTTTCCGCTGAGGACATCGCAATGCACAAACCGACCACTGCTATCTGCTTCATATACGGTTTCCGTCCGGACAGTCTCAGGGTTGAGTGGCTGAAGGACTGGCAGCCCATACACTCAGGTGTTGTGACCTCTCCCTCGGTTGAAAACAATGGGACATTCAGCACCAGCAGCCGTCTGACTGTCACCGCCAGAGAGGGGAAGAGCGACTCGGTTTACACCTGCAAGGTGACCCATCAGCCCTCCCACACCATCACTGTCAAGAACATCACCAAGTGCCAAGGTAGGAGGTACAGCACCAGCTGATACACACGCCAACAACATGGCTCTCAGTTTCCTTGCAAATGTCCACTTGTGGGAGCTCTGGGGCACTTTGGGTTGAGCTCCTTTTGTATATTTCACTGGGATCAATGCACATGTGAGCCTTGAACCAAAGTTTATGGATGTGTACAACATGAGGAAATCGGCACTCGATCCTCACTGTGTTAATAATAATACTAATAATCCTTGCATTTGATATAGCGCTTTTCATGTCGGGAGGACGTCCCAAAGCACTTCACAGAACACACACTAAAGTGAATTGACTGTATACTTGTGGGCGAACACGGCAGCCAATTGCGCACAGCAATGTCCCACAAACAGTTGTTGATTGAAAATGACCAATTTATTATTGTTTTTTTGATTTTGGAGGGATTATTATTAGGCTCTGTGTGGAGTAAGGAAACTTGCCCAAGGTTTTGTCCTCTGCCTGGAATTGAACTCAGGTCTCTTCGCTTGTAAAAACGAGTGTTCTAACCACTCAGCTACAGGACTGTTATCAGGAGGCGCACCGTTTGGCTCTGTTTCTGATCTGCTGCTCAAGGGGAGATCTGGCATCTCTCACAGGTCCACGTGACTTTGGCTGTAATTCCCATATTCCACCCTCTTCCTCCACGTCTACTTTCACTGAACTTCCTGATCACAAACAGTCAATTTGGTCACTCCGCGCAGATATGCAGTGAATCGCAGACTGCAGAGTTACAACTCATCCAATGTATATGTTTAATGCTGAGTTGTTGTCAGTCGGAGGGAATTGGAAATCAATCGGCCAAATATCACGCGGTGTTTCAGAGAAGATTGTTCATCTTTCCATTAAATCATTTCAATACCAACTGATAATTCTGTTAGGAAACCGCGGTGCGTGTTCAGCTCACCCAGAACGTGAGAATATTCATGGACAGTATTGTTTCATAACTTGATCAAATATGAAATCCTGGATATTGGCTGTTATTTGGGTTTCAAGTTTCTTTTCCTTTTCTAGGTTGTGAATCTCCTGAACCTGTCAAGGTCTCTTTCCTGCCGCCTTCACCGAAACAGGTTTTGATGGAACCCATTGTAACGCTGACATGTGTCGTGGCGAATGCACCACATGACGTCAACGTGACTTGGACACAAGAACAGACACATTTACAGTCTGGATATGGGAAACCGTCTGCCACTGGGCCTCAGGAAGTGATCAGTAAACTAAACATTTCTACACAAGACTGGACCGGTGGAAAAGTATACTTCTGCATTGTCAGCCATGACGATATACCGACTCCCATCAGAAAAAAGATATTTAAGGAGCCCGGTGAGCATCCAAGTTCAGGATATAAACCATTTATTTGTTTATTGTAATTTCATAATATAGGCAACAGATACAATTGTGAAAACAATTATAAATTGTCTGTCTCTGTTTTTAATTCTGTCGATAGATTTGTCACATCTAACAAATGCCGAAAAATATTTATAGATATAAGCTGATAAGCAGATCCTCTGACATGAATAATATAAAAAATAACTTCATCATTACACCTGAGGATATTTTAACAGGTTTTTGTGGAGCAAAGGAAGCCACATCTAAGCCACTGAGCGCAAATCAAGTTAATCCCAAGTTCTGTTGGGAGTTTTCAATCCACTCCAGTGTTCCCAGCCACACCAACAATTATAAACCACTGCGCACAGACTGAGCAGAGACACACTTTACTCTCAGCTTGTTCAGCGGTATCTTGTGCTTGAAGGCTTTCTCTGATTGACGGCATCAGTGTATTGATTTGATTTTATTGTTTCCACAGTTGAGTACAGGAAACAACCTTCAGTGTATCTGCTTCTCCCATCGGCAGAAGAATTGTCTGCTCAGCAGTCTCTCACCCTCAGTTGCCTGGTGAAGAACTTCGCTCCCAAAGAGATCTTTGTGGAGTGGACTGTGAATGACCAATCGATTGATGCCAACAAATACAAGAACACTGAGGTGATGGCAGACAGTGCAGATGGCGATTACTCCATGTACAGCATGTTATCCATCTCAGCCGGAGATTGGGACAGAGGCTATTCCTACTCCTGTGTGGTCGGACATGAAACTTTCCCACTGAAGACCCTGACCAGAGCCGTTAATAAATCCAGCGGTAAACCGAGTTTTGTAAACATTTCCCTTGTCCTGATGGACACCGTGAATGCCTGTCAATGAGGCTCTCAATACCATTTTGCTTATTTTTTGTGCACCCGCCTCCCGACCATTGCATTGTCAGTTTGGAGTCATGAAAAAGTAACTCAAATAAAGATCATTGTTGTATTTATGAGTCAGGTACAGAGGGGATGATTTCCAATTAATTGCGCAGACAATTTTCAGAGTGAGGAATGATACACCTTTTGTTTGAAGCGATGATAGTATCAAGTTAGTAGAACAGTCAGTTTGGTTTGGATATTCTTAAGCACAGGGATGGATTTCCACTTGTTTTTGTTAAACTAAATACTGCTGAAGGACAGACACAGATCGCGGTACAGCAACATGTTCACGAATACACCCACTGAGCCATTCTCGTTGGTTGAAAAACAAACACTCATTCACATTCACATCCACACACACTCACACACACTCACATCCACCCACGCCCACATAGACACACATACAATCTCATCCACTGAGGCCCCCACACTCAACACAGCACAGGCCCACACACACTCACACCACACAGGCCCAGGCCCACACACACTGACACACACTCACACAACACAGGCCCACACACACTGACACACACTCACACAACACAGAACCACAATCAACTCACACACACTCATACCCACCCAGACCGATACACATTGACAAACACCCACATCCATCTCGGGCCACCCAGAAGCACACACTCATTCACAAACACATCCACCCGGTCCATGCACACTCACATACATTAACACGACAACAACAACAACAAGATTCCATTTATTGAGCGCCTTTAACGTCGGGATGAGGTCGCAAGGCGCTGTACAGTTAGGTCAGGACCCGAGCAAGGGGGAGAATGGTCAGAGTGAGGGGAGGGAAGGGAGGGAGCGAGGAGGGAGTAGAGAGTCGAGAGGGGAGTTGAAGGCTCGGTCAAAGAGAAAGGTATTGAGACTGGCCTTGAAGGAGGAAAGGGAGGAAGCAAGGCCATGACACTGGGGGATAGAGTTCCAGAGCCTTGGGGCTGAGAGGCTGAAGGCCCGGCCACCGATGGTAGGGCGGTTGGGGCGGGGGATGTGGAGCAGACCGGAGCCAGAGGAACGGAGGGTACGGGTAGGTAGGGGGATAGTAGGTCAGAGAGGTAGGAGGGAGCAAGGCCGTGAATGGCCTTGTAGGTGAGGATGAGGATCTTGAATTCGAAACTCCAATTGAAACAAAACTGCATTGCTGTGGCACTTCACCAAGTAGGACACCCACACTGTCAGGAAACTGGCTTCTTCCCTTTTATACATTGCTGTAATAAATACAACTCAATGTCACCATTTTCCTTGAGCTGAATCTGCAGGTTTTTCAGAATATGATACATGTTTTGTTCTCTAAGATAGGAAACATCACCTTGACAGTGAGTGTCAGTGCCTGATCCCTTCCCCAATCAGTCTCACATGGCCACATGCAGCAAAGGTGGTAATCAATAAAGCTCAGGGATGAACCGTTACACTTAACCCTCAATCCCTTCAGCTGATGTAACCTGACGTTTGTGTCGGTTCCTCTATTGCTTTACAGCAATATTAACCATTTTGAAATAGGCACAGTGCCATTGATAAAAATATTGATGATGACATAATATGGTAAAGGACACAGTCAGGAATAACATGGGGAATGGCAGAAAGTTACAGAGCGTTCGGCTGAGTTGGCAGAAAAGTGGAAATGAAGTTCAACATTGAGACAGCAGTTTTTTGAAAGTATATTTAGGAAAAATTATCATTAAAGTTATTACAACAAAATAATTCTTATATAAGTGGAATGAAGAAAACTTGGGAGTATAAATCGATGGGATTCAATATCAAAAAAGCATCAAAATGTATTCAGTGTTTTTCAGAGCGGAAATTGATTGCCAATTCTATGCAAAGTTAGCAGGATTGTGGGTGGGGCACTGCGTGCAGTTCTGGACAGTGTTATACAGTTATACAAACAGTATAAAACACCCAGGAATGTCACTGAAAAATATAACGGCAGAGTCGGTATTTATTTAGATATACACCGTACTTCTACTACCAGTTTTTTTTTGAATAGTCACAGTGTGAACATGGAAAAGAACAGCAGAAAGGTGGAATTTGAGCATTGGAGTAGATTTGGCCATTTTCTACCAGAAGACTCTCAATGGGAGGATTTCCACCTTTTGTAATTCCACAAGTTTAATTTTCTCAACGTGTTACCAAAATTCTTCTCTGGATTCAATATTTTTTGGAACAAATAAACAAACAATAAAATCAATTACTTTTTCATCTCTCTGAAAATTAAAAGTTTTGAAGCTTTGGCAGGAGGTTCTGTGTAGTTCAGTAGAGGGAGGGAGCCCACGATCAACTGGTAAACTTTATATACATTAATAGTCAAAAGGGAAAAGAAGAAAAGTCTCAGGTTTCAATCCCCTCTGAATATATTTCTTTTTCATCCTCACAGAGGTGAGCCCAACCGAGACGATGCTGGAAGGTTTTCAACAAGATGAACATGACAACCTCTGGCCGACAGCTTCCACCTTCATCATTCTCTTATTCCTGAGTATTTTCTACAGTGCCACGGTCACACTATTTAAGGTGGGGAGAGGAAATTCTTTGACACTATGATCTGATGTAACAGCTGCCGGTAAATAATTCTTCCACGGGAACTGATGGTGAAGCTCATTGCAGCCACTGTGCTGGGAAACTCCCCCTGTCCCCACAGGACAGGATCCGTGTGACCAAGCTGTGTGAGGTTGATGGACATATCCTCTCACCATTACACACCCTATCACACCTGACATATGCTCACCTGGTATAGCCGCAGGCAAGGAGCGAGGCTCATTTACTGATCTTGTGGATCTTTCAGTATATTGTGGATACTTGAAAGCGAAGGGTTTCTGCCTGTATAAGGCAATGACAGACCAATACCCACGGACACAGTATCAGTTGGGATTGTGTGTGTTTGTGGTGGTGGTGGGGGGGGGGATGTGTGGACATTCATATACATACATAAACACAATATGAAATACTAAATCTCCTCCCAGGCTGAAATTATTCATCATATATTTACTTTTATTTTCCAGGTAAAATGAGTTTATTACCATCAGCTTTACCGATGTTCCTCATCTGTTTGTGTTTATCTTCAATGTCCTGTGACAGAATATGCGATGTCTTGTTTCACCCATTGAACACATTCATGGGAAATAAATATTGTAATATGCAACGACGTTAATTTTAGTGACTTTTCTTATTGTTAGTTTATGTTACAATGTGCCTTTTGTTAAAAATATATAACGTTTTTATTTCATGTACTGTCACACCTCTCTGATATTCTTTATTTGCTGTTTACTGTTTGTGTGGTGCAATGATACAGAAAGACAGAGGCTGTTATATTTTGTCCTTTTATTTCATTCTGAAGATGTGTATTTGTGATCCGGTCCTATTCCATAATGCCTACAGATTCTCTATATTTGTTTGCCCGAAGTATCAATAAATGATAAAAGTTAGTGAGCTGTTTGATCTGTGTCTTTCCTGTTCCCTTTGTGTCAATGCCGCCTTGACTTCTGATCCAAATTGTTCAGATTCACAGAAGCTCAACATTAAACAAAAGCTGTTGAATGAACTGTCCGACTTCAGTTCGGGTTTTGCTGGAACAAATAATGGGCGACAATCTTTGTACTTGAATTGCTTCTCCGCTCCAGTGACCAGCAGCTGCTTCCATCCCCCAATGATCAGCCCCACACCCAGATACAGCTTCAGACACATGGCTATTCTAATATAGTAACACGCAGCTCTGTGTTATAGTATTTATAGCACAATGTGAGTGTGCAATGTGTTTGATATATGCAGAGAGCTTCATCTCCTGCCTGTGCTGAGCTGACAATCTGAGCAGCACCACAGTGGGAGGCCATGAAGCCCAAATCCCAGCTGTGGGCAGTTGGGCTGCTGTGTTGGCCCAGACTCCTCTTCACAGTTTAAACTGTGAAAGGCTTTGGGACGTCTTGCTGACGTGGCAGCAAACAACATGTGCAACCACTTGAGACAGAGGTTTTTGGCTCAAATCCACATCGGCATTTGACAATAATGGAGTTGATGTTTGTGAAATACACTCCAATGCTCTGCTGGGGTTGTGCCGTGTTGTTATGGGTTTGGTTCTTCGGTCCTTTTGCCTTCTTACCAAACTATTGAAGTGCTTTGACACATCTCCTTGATGTGAAAAGCTCCATAACAAACCTCAGGATTACTACTGAGATGGTCGACTTTCAGCAAACAGAAAATCAATAAGTACATCTTTCATATGTTAGTTTCAACATTAGAGAGACAGACAGACACGTGCAATAATCCGTTTGCCGTTTCACCTATTTCAATATTTTAAAGAAAATGAACAGATCCAGAATTAATATTGTCGCCATTCCACAGAAACTCCCTGCACAGAAGCACATATTTGCGTCCATTGTTGGCTGTTATTTTCTCCAAAATTAATATTTGCATAACTCGAACAGTAAGTATTTCCCCGCTCTCCCCCATATACCCTTCTAACCCAGTTCACAGCCAATTCTATTGATTAATATGGAACACTGATAACCCGCTCAGTGCGGAAATGTGGTGTAACATTTATCTTTATGATTCTGCTTCGACCAAAGATCAAGCCCTGATCTATATTGAAGCTAAATATATGCACAAATGTCTTAACTAGTCAGAGCAGTTGAATTACAACTATCGCTGTTGGCTATCAATTATTCTACTTCCCCTCCCCCGCACACACTCCCTCCATCCCTAATGTTCTCTGGAGCAAAGAAAATGTCAAATGTTTTTCTAACCGGTTGTTGGATTACCTGTACAGATTCACTGTGCCCATAGCGTAGTGATGTGCTTCACGTTCCACTGAGGGAAAGTGCAGTCTTATTGATGTTGATGTACTAAACAAGACTTGCAGGACAAACTTGTTGTTCAGAGATAGATAACTTTAAACATTTTTTAAACGAGAAACATGACGGCTGAGGTTCTATAAAGGGAGTGCTGTGGAATCCTGTAGCTCAGTGGTTAAAGCACTCGCATTGCAAGCGAGACACCTGGGTTGATTCCAGGCCGGGCGAAACCTTGGCCAAGTTTCCTTACTCCACACACCAAATAATA